AGCTGAATTAGTGCACGGAGAAGTATAAAAGATTAAGAAAACCAAAAAAACTATAAAAGGCTGAAGAAATAAAACCGGGAACGAACTATTGGTACGTAGCTCTTTGAGGAATTCACTGCCGCCACTGTACTCATCGGAGAAGGGCTGCTGCTCGTACAGTATCTTCCGCCATTTCTTGGGCACCAAACCATCACATTCATTCATCGAATTCACATTTATCACCAACTTCCTGAAAAAAAATAATTGGCCAACGCATGGACTGCCCGTGCGAAGATGCGTTTTTTGCATGGTTCCCCGCAGTTTTTGTTGCTACCGACACCGGTTTTTTTGGTAAATGCTTTTAGCTAAACAAATTAAGACTGGCCGCCAGGACTGTTAGGGAACAACCCCTTAAAATTTCAGCTTTCTAGCTTCCGTGGCTCCTGAGTTAGCAACTTACTGGAAAAAAATTTTTACGGGCCCGTGCATGTTTACCAAGCATACCTGAGAGCTGGGTTCCAGCTGAATGAAACTTAGTTGGACGAGGTATACGGGATGGAGGGAAAATATGAAACAAGCGAACAAAAAGAACGTCAAAAAAAGTTCTGTTTGGTCGCATGATTCATGTTCGAACCTCCGTAAAGAAGAGGGTCCAGTCATTACACCGGTGAACCCTGCTCACAGCTGCGCCTTTTATACACTTCAATTACTTAAGCATGACATTTTTTACTAACATTTGCTAAGAACGGCAGGACTGCCAGGATTTCTCATGTTAGTGATGTGTTACTGGGATGCTCCTATACGCGTAAAAGCAGTTACGCTAGGTCTCTCGAACCTGCGATGCATATTGCTAGTTAGTATCAACCACAGCCTGTTCGATGCATTTATGCCATCTCTTCAGAATCAGCCAAATGTTTGCTTTCTCGCGGATACCACTCACTAATGCACCTCATCCACGCACAGGCCCTCCGAAAAGAGCAACCATTAAAACTTGGCTCGGCTTTGTCTTGCTCGAATTAGGTACTAAATAAATGGCAACGCGCACCAGACTAGCCGGTGCGATCAGGCATTTTGTGCAATTCCGCCCACCAAACGATTGCCTATTAATGATTTTCACTGCTTTGTACTTTGGTCTGTGCAAAAATAGTTCAAACATTGGAAAACAGTTAAAAATTTCACGCACCAGCGCATGAAAGCGGAATTTGAAACCTCGAAGAGTGAATATCCTTCCAAAACCTCCCAGAGCCTCAACTCTCGCCCTCAACTCCAGAGTGAATTCAAAAACAGGCGCGAACCGCAAAACCTAGACAGCCCGAGATCTAACAGCACCTGCCCGTGCCGTTCTTTTTTTTCTCGAAGTTGTATTTCGCGGATAATCCCCGAATCCCTTGGGCTGTAACGATACTTAAAGGCCCGGGTGGACTCATATGTTTTATTATTTACGGTAATGGTTAAATCTCGGCTCGGCTGGCGCCATACACGATTTGCGAAAACTCTTTCATGGCGATGACGGGTGGAGGCTATTCCACGGCAAACCGCGGCAGCAGGGGAGTATTACAACTGGGGATCACGCTCAAACCACGCAGTTCAACCTGTAGGCAGTATTACCCAAGCGCTCTTGGCAAAGTGCCAAGTTGCTCCAGCAAGCTTTGCCGAGAGATGGTGTTAGCAGAGAAGCTGGTGCGTCTCGCAATGACTGAGAAGCCGAGCCGAGGTTTGATAACTGGTTGGATGAAGGGATGGGTTCGTTGGGTCCGTTGTATGATTTGTTTTTATGCGTTTTTTGCAGTTATGCAATGCAAAAAACGCATATTGACGAGAGGTTGTCTGTGT